GGGCTTATTATATGTCAAAGAAGAAACAATCAACAATGGATAGTTTTATTAACTCATAAGTATGTGATGAAATAAAATCCATATTTCAAAATAGATATGATTATTATTTAATTTGTTATACCGATATAATGAGGTTTGCATAAACAATATCATTATAAAGAGGGCCTCTGATTATACCGATAGACTCGTTATACCGATACAAATGGCCGGTGCCACTCGTATCGGTATAAAGAGGTTTGACTGTAGTCTGTTCACGTGATCATATTCCTATTTGCGTAACTGTTTCCAAAAAATAAAATTTGCACTGTGCATAAAACCAGACATACATATATCAATATAAAACGATAACATGTCTTCACACACTTCTTCACCTTCCTCACCAGTTTCTACATCCTCTACTTTGACGGAAGAAAGGTCAACTCGCACGATGGCAGACGTGGTTAGAAAATTTAAGACGGAAGAGCTTATCGACTATTTACAGAGGCAAGACTTGAACCTTGACAAAGAGGATCTTGCCGTTTTTCGCAAGCGGAAAATTGATGGCTTTGCTTTTCTTGAAATGACTAAATCGGATTTTCGAGAATGTGGATTCGAAATAGGACCTGCTATAAAACTCGCAAAATTTATCGAGGATCTCGGGCAAAAACTAAGAAGTTATTCGTCGTATAAAACTCTGGACGACCTGAAAGAAATGCTACGTAAGAATAAAGTCAATGGGGAAGATATAACGAATATCAACCAGTTCACACCCGGTAAGTGATACATTATTTTCTTGGTTTTTTTAACGGCGGCTGTCATCGAAATTTCAATCATATATATATTTTTTTTCTAGTGTTCGAGGAAATAGACGATAATGACAAAGCATTCAACCACTGTATGGATAATATAATCCTAAAATTATCAAACGTAGAGACTATGACGGACGCCAACGAAGCAACGAGATGCGAATTTATTTCGGCAATTCTACATGCGTCGATTGATATCGCTAAACGAGTCACCACCCAAGACATCTTTATAGTCCTGCAAAAGGATATTTCTGGTGAAGAGTCAACGGGACGAGTCGACTACGCAATAAAGGGGTTGGAGGACCTACTTTGCATCACCGAAGGAAAACCACGTAACATCAAGATTGGGTATGCTCAAAATCTAGCACAACTCGAAAGTGCGTACCAGACTAATAAGAAGAAACGGACAGCGGATGAGGCATTTGATAACGAGTATTTCGACTACCTCTATGGGATAGTATCTACGGGTATGCGAAAACTTTTACTAGATTATTACTCAGTTGGGACTTTAAGTCTCACTTTACCATGTGATTTTTTGCTAATAATCGCGTTTATTTTTAGCCATGGAGTGGCACTTCATCATATATATGTTCTAAACCGATCTGGTCGTTGAACCGATCTGGGATCTAATATATTCTCATTGGTCAATCTTCAATTAC